CCAGAGGAAGGGCTCCCAACCGAACTGCACTATGTAAATATTCCATCGTGTCATCCTTAACGGCTTGTTATGGAAAGAAGGCAGCAGTGGGAAAACACAGGAAAGTTAAACACTGAAAATGACATTGTCTGGACCCTGTAAAATGCTGTGAATGAGGCAGGGCAATCATCTGATGAATGCCTCCTTTGGAAGCGCTCCAGTACTCATTTCCAGTAGAAGAGGCCCGCCTAGCTGCGATATTGTGGATGCTGTCAGGACAAAATGAGTGAAAGCTCTGCCGTAATATAGCAGCTAGAAGCCTGACACGCAGGGGCAGCTTCACGCTTAAGGTGGAATCCTCATAGGATCAAGGAATCATGTTGCAGTACACCTCAGACATGCTAATGTATGGCTGTCCTGAAAGTCCTTCCTTTGTGTTGTTTGTCTCAATCGATTCAACCCTTGTTTTACTTTCATGTTACCTCTAGCAAACAGCTTACCTGATCCCCCACCCTCTCCCAAACTGTGTATGTTAAAGCATCTTGTCTCCATTTTTGTAGTCCCTTCAGGAGCTACTACATGCTGCGTGTCTGAATTAACTGTAAATGTTCTTTTGATTGTACAGCCTCAGTGAACTCTTTCTGGTTTTTCTTGTCAGTGCTCGTGACATCCTGAAGTCAATTCACTCTGTCCCCAAAGTGGTTTTTACCTACTGCAGAAACCTGATCCTGTAAAGAAAAAACTGCTGACATTAAAAAACAGAGGGGGGCATTAAACAAAAGAGGCAGAAAGCTAAGTTGATGCTGGGTGGAGGAACTGTTTGCTAGATTAGCATTCAAAATGGAAGCAATTACAGTTGTTTGCAGAGTGAAAGGGAGCAATCAGGGCACAGAAGAAAACAAACACGGGGATCTCTGCTTTTAGAGATATTTGCACAGCATCCTATGTTTAGAAGCCACTGCACTAAGGGGCAGAGAAGAGTAAATGAAGCTGTGATGCAGGGAAAAGTCCACATCGCCCTTTCCTCTCAATCTGAGCTGTTCTTGGCCAGGAAAAAGAGTTTCTCAACTTACCCTGAGGTTGCCTTTCAATTATGTATGGTTGTGTTTAACAAGGAGCATGCTTTCCTCTGAGCCAGAATCAGCTCCCCAACTTAGTGTGGAATGCATGCTGGAGGCCAGCACACAGAGAGCAATGGCTGTAAGGACCTGTCTGTGGAGATGCAGGATTAGGCTCTAAAGACAGTCAAAGAAAAGGCTGCTACAAGGCAGCCTGTCTGTGCTCATTTTAGCATTCTGGGTTAATTTTAGGCCTTCCTTCAGTCAAGTGTAGTTGCTTTTTACTGAGGAAAGCACTGAAGCTTCAGTTGTGTCTGATGACTGTGGCTTAATTTGTTAATGATGCTTAAGAAATCGTTCAGAAGGAAGGAGAACCCCACAGACTTTGATAAGGGGGACGCAGGTGACATCTCACTGATGCAAACAAGCGGAGCATCGTTCTCTTCTCATTTTGTCTTACTTTGTCTCTGTTGCAACCAAACAGCACCCTTGACTTAGCAGGTGCCATCAAAGCATAGAGGAGTTGTTGAGATGTGGGTAGAAGATGCACCATTTTTTAAAAACAACAATGCAGGTTTCTCTTTGAAGAGAAGCAGTCCCTGCAGCTGTAGATCAGCCAGATATAGAAGCAGGAAACTGTTATAGGTTTACTTTGAAAACGGGGGGGGGGGGGGGGGGAGGGAGAGAGAGAGAGAGAGAGAGAAAGAGAGAGAGGAAGGCAGCGTTTTCCTTCCACTACTGTCAAAAGCTGAGCTAGATTAAAGTTAGTGGGAGCCCCGGGGCATTTACTTCTGCACACAACCAGTCTGCAGAGGAAAGCTGACTCAGATTTAAAGACCCCTATTTTTGCTTGTCTGGCACCCCTTGCACCAGCTTTTCCCATCTGGGCTCCCTCCAAATGCACTGGGCTACAGCTTCCAGCATTGCTGCCTGGGGGATACTGGGAGTTATAGCTCACCTCATCTTTCCCAGTAGGGGAAGTCTGTCCTATGTATTTTAAACATCTGCTGAAAATTGATAGTCTTACACATTTCAAGGCACATTACAGGTTTCCTAAAGACTTCTAAAGCACATTGGTGCTTACCTGGTCTAATTAGTTCTTTAAACTGCCAGGAATGGGCAGAACTGTAGCTGCACGTAGCAGTGCTGCAAGGAACCTTCTGGTACACACAGCCAGCCTAGTGACTTAGTGTGTGGCGCTGGAAGTCCCCAGTTCAAATGTCATCCCCGCACTGGGGCAAGGGTGGGCTGGCGCGCGGTTTGTGGGACTGACTTCATTTTCCCCCTGCTTGGCTTTGAGAGCCATTAAGCAAAAGCAAAATATTGTACTGTGACCGGAGCCAGTTGCAAAATGGCGTTTTGGGCTGGGCAAAGATCTAGTAACCCACTACTGTGTCCCATGAATTTAACCTGCATATACAAGTACAAATATTCATTGGAAGCACTGATCAAGGGATTGTGCTGTGCAGAAAAAATAATCCCATCTTTCAAAACCCTTGTCATTCAGTCTGATAGAAAAGAAATGGCTTGTAGAAATAACGAACAAGTTGGGTTTGGGGTTCTTGTGTTTGCTTTATGGGGTGGGCATGTGAGTGCTCCATCTTTCACTGCACAGTCTCTCTGGCAGCCTGCAGCTTCCCACAGTTTGATTAAAGCCCAGAGGAAGATGTTAAAGGTAGTTTCTCCCAGAGGGCCTTTTTCAAATCAGGAAGCCCGGGAGGCTGCTAAGCAGTAGAGGGATGTATAATAGAAAGAATTCACAAAGCGACTTTGGCCACCTTGCAGTGATTAGCTCAGGTGAGAAATAATACCAATATAATTTGCGGGAAGCTGTAAAATGCCAGGAGAACAAGCAGGAAAAAGGGAAGCCTCTTTAATGAAGCTTTCCAGGAAATTGGAGAACAGGTTTTGGCACCACACTAATTCCGTCTCTTCCCTGGAACTGGATGCAGCTGCACCTGTCCACCTGCATTATGGAGGATGCCAAATGGAGGCTAGACTGCCAACACAGTGGATGCTGCTGCAGCTTCTGAAAGTAAAGAGGATTTGCTACAGTTCCTGCCCAAGGTGAGACCCTTACTGAAGAATTTCTCCTGCTTCCACAGTGTCTCTGCTCACAGGTAGGGTGAAAGATGTCGAGAGATCGCTGGTGCACAGCTGCAGCTTCAACATGGTTTCCATTATCAGAACTGAGCTCACCACTGTTTTATGTATACCTGTTTCTAGTTTCATCACCACCACCAAGCTTTCTGTGGTTCAGCAGTGTAATTTAGAAGAGAGGCTTTTTTGTTGGGCAGAAATGTGCAGAGGTATGCTACCTACCACAGGGCCAGGGCAAGACATTTTGTTGTCTGTGGCAAACAAGGAAAGACTCCTACCCCTTTTCTGTAATATCCAAGCCTAACCAGCTTATTTTGGCACCTGAGGCAGAAAATCCCCCACGTGTCTCCCCAGAGCAACTGCCTGAGGCAACTTCCTCCCTTTGTCTAATGGCAGAGCTGGCCCTGCACGGCCCACTGATCTACCGGTAGGTCCTGATCTACCCTTCCACCTACCACTGCACTTGCTGACCTTACACAACTCTTCTCTCAGCCTCATTTCCAAAGTGTAAACTATGAAGCTGCAATTGGCAGAAGATCAATTAGAGAATGAATATTGTATGTGTGAATTCTTGAAATGCACCGCTATTATGACTCCTGGCCAAACTACTTGGGACTGCTCATGCATCTCCCACCATGGGATCATCCCAATCTCTCCCTTTTCCATGTGCCATGTCTAATGTAATCTTTGCATTTTCCTCTCCGCTTATTGTGGTGATGGGAGCACAGCATGATAGATCAGGGCCAGCCCTGCCATTATGCAGAGGGAGGCAGCGGATGCTGGAGCGGAGGACAAAGCTGCATGGACTATCACACTCTGGCCGCTGCCCTTGGATGCAAAGGAGGGTATGGCTCCAATCACCAATGCCGACGAGTCAAAAGCCAGCTTCTGTCTGTGGAACTGTGTGTGCTGCACATGTGCACACACACCAACTCAGTGGAATATCTGGGACTGTCTTTGTGTTTTATGAAAGCTGCCCCCCCCCCGCCCCCAGATATGGCATTGTTCCTTTCCCTGTCACTTCTCTTGGAATCAGAGGCCTACTATGGCTGCAACTCCAAATCTTCCACATGGAGACCTGCATCCCTGGGAGACCACATGCTCCACCACCCCGCTATCCAGGGGCAACCTTGCTGGAATGAAGGTTCTGCAGCTCTGGTGATCTTTGCGGCATTAGATGATCCCTCTGCATTCATTGGCTTTTCCCCATATGCACTTCCCCTCCTGTAGCTCCATCCCTTGCATCTTTCTGAGGTTTTTTTTCCTGGAATCAAATGCCCTCCTTCCTGCTGTCCACAAATTCCGTTTTACAAATATGGCTGTCTTTTGGAGTCAGAAGACAGTCAGACTTTAGAGGATAAGTAAATCAGAACATGCAGGTGTGTCCTTCGTTTTTTGTCCTATGGGCCCAGCTTTTTTAGTACCTAGCACCACCTTTGCTTTGCATGCAGTCTAGTGTGTTGCAGGCCCAAGCCTATCTACTGGGAGCCAGTGTGCTGCTTAGAGTGCTGGCCCAGGGAAAGTCACAGATTCTCAGCCCAATCAACCTCACAGGGTTGTTGTTGGAAGGATAAAATGGAACTGTGTAAGTTGCCTTGGGTTCCTCACAAGAGAAGAAAGGCAGGAAATAAATGTAATGTGATGATAACAATAGCAATAACAACAGTGTGAAATGCACTGGACCTTAGCTCTAGAGTGGCAGCATGGTTTAACAACTGGGAAACATCCACATGTGATTACTTGAGAAGGGGGTACCTGTAACAGGTACAACTTTCTCCCCACCACAAAAATGCAGAACTGGGGAAAGCTGTATCTATTGACCTTCCTAGCTGGATTAAGAATTTGCACACTGAGATCAGGAGATAAGAAACTTTAAATCTTTTTTATTATTACTTGGGAAACTAGGGTTGGACGTTGCACAAGAAAGAGCAATTCAGAACAAAGTTCATTGAGTGACCCATCCAGGCCCACTAGATGGGCAGAAAACAACCTCCAGCTAGAAGCAAATATATTTTCTCAGCTGCAGAGGATCATAATGCTGTTGCAGGAGGCAATTCCAGCCATGGGGTGAAGTGTTTCTCCACAGCCCCACTAGAAACCTGTAAGGGGAAGAAATCCAGAAAGAGAAGCACATCAAGGTGATGCTCATAAAAACAACACAGGATGTCAAAGTGAATAACTGGCCAAGCCAGTCCAATGCAGATTATCACTGTATAAACTAGAATTCGCCATAGCCTTGGAATACACGGATATTGGTTTCCTTTGGCAAAGGAAGCCATATCTTAGGTTATACCTCCCGTAGGCAAACTGGGACCCTTACCTTTTTTCTTATATATTGTGTAGATCCCCAAAATGCTGCCATAGACAAAGCTCTTGGCAATCAGGAGCAAGAAAACGACCTGCCCTGCCCAAAGACTAAGATGAACCTTGAAGGAGTCCAAAACTATTGGGGGAGAAAACAGAGTCTGTCTCAGCAATAGTCAGAATAACAGCAGCAGCCAGAGACTCACCCATTCTATCAGCATGGGACGATTTGGCCTGATATATTTAGAGGGCCCCCTCTCCCCCATATGCAGAGTAGAAAGGGCAAGCCACCCTTAATGTGCAGCCTTTGTCTCTATAAACCACCTTGGAAACTCTGAATCTGATAACATAAACAGGAAGTCCTGGGCTAGTTCTGCTGTTAGGTAGAGCAACTCACACTGCTTTGGGCTGTTGGTTGTGACTGCCCTAAAAGGCCAGCAAATGGTTGTTTTGAGTCTTGTTCTATTTCTGCTCCAAGAGTGTTTTATGTAGTATATTCTGACTTCTGTGCTCAAACATCTTGCCCAGTAGAATGGCCACTTATGAATGGGCAAAAAAGAGTCCATGCCCCCCCTCAAATGAGGAGAAAGTGGATAAATTTCTGCTTGAGAATGGAATGGTTTGGATGGGAAGGTGGTTGACAGAGACTTTATTTATTATAAATTTGTTTAAGTAAGGGTGTTGCATGCCACATTTCTGGAATGACCCTGGGCACCTTCTTTCCTATATATGTTCTTCTTTTTATTGTATTATCTGAAAATTAAAAAAAAAAGATTTTTTAATGAGGAGAAAGGAGGATGCCAATATGAATATGCTACTTGAAATGCAGAGTTGGCTGGCTGACCAGGTGCTAAGTATGGAGGGGCAACAGCTCTTTGGGTTACTTAACTTGAAACCAGGATCAGCCAGGGCAACGCTTCCACTAGCTGATGCCTTCAAACTGAAGATGATCCTCTTGCAACCCTTCAGATAAAGGGCTGTCCTACTGAAAAGAAGAACCCACCCACCAGGTGCCAAACTTGGATAGCAGCAACAGCGGAGCGTGATCGTTTGGGAACGTGTCAGGGGCAAGCCTGGGATGGCCTCTGAGCACACACTGAAGGCTTAGGCGTCACCGAGGCAGGACTGCTCGGCCCCTGAGCAACGTGGGGGGGGGGGGTCCTCTTGCGAGCTGGTGCGGCCTCCCCAGCGCGAGAGAAGGCGGCAGGGCTGCTGGGCCGCGGGCCGCCTGCCCCGGTCGGTCGCGGCTTACCTGGCTGGCCTGTGCTCCGGAACGAGGACTCTTTGGTGGCGACCTCGCCCTGCCGGCCGAGGCACGTGTACTCGTGACTGCTCGCCCACTCCGTGGCGCTCAGGCGCAGGCGGCTGGCCACGACGAAGTCGCACTCGGCCCGGGCCCGGGCCCGCTCGTGCTCCGTGGCGATGGCCTCGCTCAGGACTTCGCCGTCGCGCTTCCAGATCACGCTGACCGGCCACGAGTAGGGGAGCCCCTGGATCAGGCACACCAGCGTGGCGCCTTCCCCGTGGCACGCGGGCGTCATGAGCAGGGCGGCCGGCTCCGCCCGCCCTTCGCAAGCCTCATCTGCGGAGGAGCGACAAGAGCGTTGCTCGGGCCCGCCGCAGGGGGGCGCCGAGGAGCAGCAAGGCGCCCGCCAGCCGCGCAGTCCAAGCAGGCCGCCCGGCACCCGCGCGGCCGGCCCCGAGCAGCCCTTCCCTCAGCGCCGCGCCGCACGGAGCCCGATTCAGCCCATCCTTCGCTGAATCGCTGCTCCATGTAAAGGTGGTGTTGTGTTTTGTTTAGCTTTTTAAACGGAGACAAAAGGCGCAGTGCTGGTTTTAAAAATTTAAGTCTGTTAAGGCTTCCTCTTTGATAGGTTTGCACAGAAGTCCTAAATGAAGAACATGATGGTTTACTTTCAGTTAATAGGATTGCAACCCAGATCTTTTCTCCGAAATACAAATCATGGGTGACTAGATAGGTGGCGTCTACCTCTCCGATTTCAGTTGGTCTGTTCTTAGATTTGGGTGTGCTGACATTTTATTCCGCTGTGAGCACGCTGGAAAACGCACGTACACACTGCCCCTCTCTCTAAATTGGGAGCTAGTTATCTCCCACTTTTCCCACCACAAGTTTTATGTGAAAGATAGCCAACAAGGGCCACACCGAGGGGAACAAAACGGATACAGCGGGACCCAGTGCTTGGGCATCGTCTTCCGCTGTTGCTCCCATTCGACTAGGAAGGCTTTGCTTGAATTGTGCAATGTGTCTCTGGGGGTCTAGGGAGCTGCCTTGTGCGGAGTCGGGCTCCTGGTCCACCCAGCCCAATACTACCGACTCTGGCGGGCAGCGGCTCTCCAAGGTTTCAGGACGGAGCTTTTGCAGCCCTCCCTGGAGATTCAGGGGATTGCTGTTTGGATGGGTTCGGCTCAACTCAACCTGACTCAGTAAGAGCGCCTGTGCCTACCGGGCAGGTGACCTGGAGCCCTCCAGGTGTTCTGAACTAATGCTTCCGCAAGCAGCAGTCAGCATGGCCAGCGGCCAGGGATTATCTAGCTCCGAACATATGGGTAATACCAGGTTGCTTACTGCTGCAGTGACAAAGCCGCCTTTCGCCAGGGCAGCTTTGCCACAGAGCAGACAAAACTCGACACCCCTCACTTCTCTTCCTTGCGCGCGCTAGAGAACAGTCGTTCTGAAGCAAGGTTCTAGCCCTCAAGGTTGTGGGTGAAGGTGGTAAGCTCTGCCTCTGTTAGCACGCCGCAGGCTTTGCTCGCTTTCCCCCGCCCGACGGGGCCGGGGCAGTTCTTCCTCTACCGCCTGCGCGTTCGTCTCCTCGCCCGAGTGGAATTTCCCTGCTGTCGGGCTCCAGCCGGGCTCATGGTCGCCCATAGCTGCACTCCTGTGCTCACTCATCTGGGAGGAAGCCCCATTGATCCCAGCGCGGGCTACTTCTGGGTACACATGTAAGCTGCACCGTGAACGACGCTGTTTTGGTGGCCCTGAGCGCCCTCCCCGCCCCGTTTCTCTCTACCGACGAACAGCGAAAAAGCCGGAGGCGACCGAAAGGGTCGCTCCGGCGAACGGGGCGCTCCTTTTGTTTTTATTTATTTAAAACATTTCTGCGCCGTCTTTGCCCAAGCCATTTAGACTCGGAGACGATCTGCGGGGATGGCAGCAGTGGCGAGCGTGGACGCTTGCCCTGGCGATCTCGCGCTATTGAGGAGGTGCGTGGGGCGCAGCATGCCTCATGGTGTGGGGCTCCGCATGGCCCGTGGGGGCCGATTTTGTGCCCGGGAGAAGACATGGACTGCGCTAGGAGAAGCGGGCACGACCTGGTCGAACGGGCGGAACCAGCCCGCCCTTTGGCGAAGTCTGGGGAAGAGGCGAGCGAATTGGGGTGCGTGAGGAGGGAGAAACCCCCCGCCCTTGCCTCCCCACTGAACGAAGATCCGAGAGCCTCCGGACTCACCTTTGACGAGGAGCTGCGTGCCCGTCTCGGCGAAGTAAGCTTGGTACCACAGTGCCGCCAGCCTACGAGGGCCCTTTGCAAAATCCCCCCGGCTTCTCCAGGCTCTTGAGGGAACGCTCCTCTCTCGCCCCCGGCCCACCCTGCCGCCCGAAGGCCGGGTCAGCTAGCGCGGAGCGCCTCCCCTCCCGAGGCAGCCGAGGGGCGGCTCTTCCAGGGCTGCCCGCGCCGCTGGGGGCTGCCCAGGGCCAGAGGGCGCCCGGAGCCTCGCCAGGGTCGGCGGGCTGCGGGGCTCCGCTGAGGCTCTCCACGCCGCCGTCCGGCGCCGGGCCCGCCTGCCTGGAGTTGCCCGCCTCTGGCCGGAGCCCTCCGCGGCTCGCCATCGCGCCCGCCGCGCCTCCGCCGCCCGTCGAGTATTGGAGGCGCCTCGTACCGCCGTGCGCTGTGTTGACACAGCAGGAGGAGACGCGACAAAAACTCCCCGCAGGCTTCTCCGCCCCCCTCTGGCGGCCGCCGAGCCGGAGGCGCGCGGGGAGCGGGGAGGGAGCCAGCCGGCGAGCCCCTCCGCTCGGACGACCCCTCTGCCGTGCCAGCGCCGCGGTGACCGCGGGCGGCGGAGGCCGGCGGCGGTGGCGCCGTCGGGAGGCCAGCCTGCCCCGAGGGTGCCTCGTCCCCTGCCCTCCGTCCTTGGGGGAACTGCGGCGGGAGCCGGCGCCTGCTTCCGCCTGCCGCGAAACGGACCCGCCGTGCGCTGCCTGAGCGGCCCTTTCGCGCCGTCCAGCCGCCCGCCGCCCGCCGCCCGCCCCGCTTCTTCCTCAAGCGCTGCCGCCTGGAGGCGGCCGCTTCGCCCTGGCGTCGTCGCGGGTTTCCGGCGCTGTTGCTCTGCCAGACGTGGCTGGGAGGGGGACCTGGGGGATCTCCTCGTGGCGTGATGCCTCCCGCAAGAGTTTTCTCCATGTGCCTCTTCCCACTTCGGATATTAAAGAATGCTCTGCTGAATCAGTATTTAAAAGCCCCCCTTTAAAAAGCCCCCCTTTAACGCGAGACTTCGTATGTCTGATTGGATACATGGAATTTCACTTGACATTCTGTATTTCTCTCCCTCTTTTAAGAGCAAAGCAGAGTTACCATTTTCTTACTCACCGTACCCCCGCTTTGTTTTCGCACCAACCTGATGCCTGAAACTTGCCAGGATGGAGAAGTTTTTAATCCGAACCTATTATGCCTGTTTCGTCAGAAGTAAATATCCGTGTCACCAAGATCGATAGGAAGTGCTGCTGAACCTGCAGGCTGACCGTGTACCTGAATTTACGGACATTCCTCATTCTGGGTGGGTGGGAGAGCTGTGTGCGTGTGTGCGGAGGGGTGGGGGGTGGTTGGTAGGGAAAGAACCAGCAAGGAAAGAGTTAAGGGCCCCCAACCCTCTTTCTGTGGATCAGCCTGTTTTGTCAAATAACCACAGAGATTCGAGCTCTCTTCTCTCCTGCTACTCAGACCATTCCAGGGAGGGAAGAGTTAATTCTCGGCTTCCGTGTAGGTTTTGGCAGCCTCTGAAGAAAGGAGCGAAGTTTTCTTTTCCCACACACGGGAAGTTAGTGTAAAGGCATTGCCAGAAATTGCACCACGGTGGTCCCTGTATTGCCACGCTGAAGGATTGCTTTGTAGAAAATCCAGAGCCACCTAAATAGGTTTACTGTGGTCCCTAAGTAAGTACAAATGAGGTTCCCCCCCTATTTTATTCCTGGTGAAGTCCCTGTGTCTTACAGCTACCTGGCAGATTGAAATTCAACAGGGACAGCTGGAGTATGAGAGCTGTACGGATCTCATTGCGGCTTGTACAAGGTTAGTGATGCCGGAGTCAGAGAAGGGCAATAGCGCTGAGGCATTAAACCTGTGGGAACATGGTGCTTGCCTCTGGTACAGCAAGATAGTGCAGGCTCTGCGGGTGGCCAGCCAGTTTTTCACCTCAGAGAATGATGTAGCTGTATCACAATGCTTGAAAGCCTACTCGTATCGGACGTTTAACTTTCCTTAGAGGGGCTGGAACAGAAGCCTCCCGCTTGGGCCACCCTTTTGGCCAGCTCCTTCCAATACACAAAGCCAGCCAGCCAGCCGGCAAGGAAGGAGTAATCTGCATCTTCTCACCTTCCCAAGAGAGATCCCGGCTGGCATTGCCCATGTGGCCTGATGCCCTTTGGCCAGCTCAGGTGCCGCTGTACCACCCTCGTCCCTCTGTGACCGACCATCTTGACCAGTGTGAGTGACTCCGGCCAATATCTTGGGAACTCCGTGCGATGACAGCCAAGGTAGGGTAGTTACTGCCATGTCCTGCAATCGGATGTTACGTATGCCTTTCATATTACATAAGCAGCCCTTTCTTGAATTCAGTGTCCTGTTTTCACTTGTAATAAACTTGCCTTAGTTGGTCTTAGTTTGATCCCTGTGCAGACGATCAAAGGCAGTCCGTCCCCGCCCCCAACGTTACCTAGATCATAGGGGTGCACTTCCCCGAGTAATTAATGGGGAAAGGGGAAAGAGAATGGGCTAATTGCTTGACCGGTGGAGACTGGATGCTTGGCTGTTTTCCTGCTCAGCCAGAGGAAGCCTGCTCTCTTTCGCTTGGGCTAACTGGGAGTGGTGGTGGTGGCAAAGGAGAGAGCAAGAGAGGGTGGAAGAGGCAGAGGGGCATGTGCCCCCCCTGAGCTATCCTGCTGGGTCGCTGTGCTGTCAGATACCTGTGACAGCGGGACTGCCAACTCCCCGAGTGCTTTTGATGGCTGTGCATTTAACAGTAGTTTAATGGGCAAAAATTAGCAGGAGAGGCTTTTCGTGGCAGAGGAGACATTCCCATAAGAACACAAGCAAAGCCATGCTGGATCAGGCCAAAGGTCCATCTAGTCCAGCACTCTGTACACACCGTGGCAAACCAGCTGGTCCCACTAATGCCCTGGAGTTCTTTGAGCCTGTCAGTAAGTATGTAGACAGGGGCGATCAAACAGACATTGCTTACTTGGACTTCCAAGGGGCTTTGGACAAAGTCCCTCACCTAAGGCTCGTCAGCAAACTAAGCAGTCATGAAATAGTAGGGGGTTTGCGTTCTGCCATGTCGGGAGGAGGTTCCAAGCTGCATCCTTCTTTTGAGCTGGAGTTGACCAGCAGGACTGATGAGGCCCCATCCTTCCCAGTCTGGCCTTTCCTGTTCCAGGCCTGGCTTATCTCCAAGTTCACTGGCCTCAGCTTGGCAACCAAGCATTCCAGCCTGGGTTCAGCATCTGAGGCACTGCCCTTTGGAAGCCTGTCTTTTGGGAGAAGTGGACCCAGCCTCTGCACACGGCCGCTCTTGATGTGACTTGCTGCAACGGGGAGGGCGCCAGTGCCGCCTTCTGGAGCAGCTCCCCTCCAGTGCTTAGGCTGAGACGCAGGGCGGGTGGCAGGAGCTTCCATCAAAGCCACAGCGGCTGCTTTTCTGTTGCCGGTGGAGCTGCCTCGATGGGTTGCACTTTGAGAGGCATGGGGCAGCAGGACATTGGGACGAACGGACCCTCTGGGGACGGCTGACCTGTGTTTTGCTGGTGAGTGTGCGTGTGTATGTGCTGTGTGTTTTTCTCTGAGCATCAGCAGTTTGCTTTCTGTGAAATATGTGTATTATTGTGCTTTGCAGAGGCAGATTTGTGACTGGGCACTTTGGGAGTCAGATGCCACCTCAGTTTCTTGGACAAGTTACTTATTTTGCATTTTTTTCCTGACCTTACCTTTTTATCTTTTAGGAAATTGATGGTTTGTAGATGGCTATGCCCAGCATGGCAGCCTTTTTGTGAGGGCACCCACAACACTTCCTTAAAATACCAACTGTGACCTCCAGTCCCAAGTGTTTGGGGACTTCTGATCTATTATTTTTCACTCTTCCTCCCTCTGGAGTTAATTTATAATATGGTTGGTATCTTCCAACTCCTTGTTACCTCCAGTGATAAGAAAAATTGTGCTTATTGCACTATTGGACTAAAAAAAGTCAGTTTCTGCCAAGGGATGGCTTTTGCTGTATTTGGATTCCATTAAAAGTAAGACTTATTCCCCTTTGTCTTCCTAATAACAGCTAATTGGGTCCAAGACACATACTCAGATTGTCTTCTTAGCTTTGGATTGAATGTGCTCTGAATCCTAAAATTTGTACATAACACATAACTAGTTGGTTGATCTTATTGCTTTTTATTTGGAATTCTCCCTGTTGTTGCTTCTTTTTGTTCCTGTTTATCCTTACTCTTTCCTTTCTCTCCCCACTCCACAATAACATCCTGTCTTCTATCTGAACATTTAGCTGTTAAAGTACCTGCCCAAACATAAGAACATTTTCAGAGGCCTTTTTCAAGGTCCTGTCACTGACTAAAGTGAGTCAGATGGCTACTAAAAAGAGGGCCTTATCAGTGGTGGCACCCAGGTTATAGAATGAACTCCCCAGACCTGACATGCTGATAAGAAAATCAGCAAGCCAACAAAATTATTCAAGGGAAAAACATAATGCAATATACCATGAGAGTTAACTTTTACAAGAGAAAAACTGGTGCAAGAGGAGCCAGCAAAACGGGTTTCAATGCTACCTCCTTTGAGGCGAAATCTGTCCTCTTTTTTTTTTTTGTCTTGTTTTTTCAATTGATATGTCACTCCATTACTCATAGGCTCTCTGGGTGGCTCACAGCACAATAAAATCTGTAATGTACAACATACAATACTGATGTACAAATCAATAGGTATAACTTACACAAGTATAATCAGGCAACCATTGGCACATAACTAGGCCACAGAAAAACCCTCTTTTCTAGGAATCAGCATGTGTGTATCCTTGAAATGTAGCTGACACTAACCAGGCACCATTCCAGAGAAAGCCAGTTGGCACTTGACTGATAACAGCAGCTCAAAAAAGGGCAATTCACGCCAACCCACCCCATCCTCCTCCTCCTCCTTCTGTGTAATAGCACCCCATCCTCCCCGTTCCTTCCGAGCATCTTCTTTGGTATGCAACCAGGAAAGTTCATGCCATTGCAACTCTTTTTACTTCTGTAACCTATTGGAAAGTGTTAACTGTGTTACATGTAACCCTCTAATGATCGATGTATAAAAGGGCCAACTGAGGACTGCTCAGGTGTGCCATCTGGAATGATTTATTGGCAGACAGTTAGTCTTGAGAATCAATCTTTTAAAAGAAAACCTTCCCCTGTTCTGTATCTTGGGCATACACATATCAGAACAGAGACCATTTGGTCAACAATACAGTACAATATAACACAATACACAACACAATAAAATCTACAATTCACAATAAAACCAATAAACCAAAACCTTGTCTGTAAGAGTAAGACAAAAGTAAGACAAAAAGGAGGCTAAGCAAATAAATAAAATAAATATCATAGATGGGGATCCCATCATTAGAGGCTCATTACCCGTTTGCTGCACCACGCAGTGCATTATGGCTACTTTCTGTGGGAGTTTCCCCGCATTCAACAACTGCAGTAGTTTCTGGAGGTGTTTTACAGCTTTCTCTGCTGCTGTCAAGAGTCCACATTCTTTACATAGAGCACCGTGGGTATGGACTACCCCAGAAGCATATTTAGACTCTGTCCATATATTTATGGTTTCCCCTGTCGCCAATTGTAAGGCTCTGGTGAAGGCCACCCACTCTGCCTGCTGTGTGAGCTGACGGAAGGGAACGCTTCGGCCTCCAAGGTCTACGCTGTATAACAACGGAGTACCAACCCTGTGTGGTCCATCCACTGTCCTGCTAGAACCATCTACAAACAGTTCCAAGTCTGCATTGACACGGGGATGATCAGATCTGGCTTGGGCTGAAGTTGTGCAAGCAGTTAGCTGAGCTCCAGACATCCTACGGAAGCTGCATGCTCCTGGCATCTCCGGTCAAGTGGGACAGTGGAATGGTGTACTAGACCAATTAAGCAAGCTTTGACGAAACTTTGCACAGAAATGAAGTTAAAGTGGCCAGGTGTCCTTCTGTTGGCTTCGCTGAGGGTCAGAATATGTTATTCCCTTGAAGTCCATTTTATCCTCCCTGCACAGATATGTGCGGTTTAGGCACCCGGTCCCACCTGATGTGGATCCTTTCCTTTCAACCTGGGGAGCAAGCCTACATCAAGAAGTGGGAGAATCATCTTGAGAAGAGCCATTTCTAGTTCTCCTAACAACACACAGTGCTGTGACGGTGCAGGGAGTGAGACTTGGATTCATCACAGCGGAGTAAAGAAGGCCCCTGAATCAGTGAGTGTTTCATCATCAGAGGACCATGCCAGGGAGCTTGACTGGCAACAGCGGCCCCAGGAGCAGACATGGAAGTGTGAAGCAGTGGAAGATCTCTGTTTTCCCTTTACAAGAATTTAATGTGGGCAGCATTGCCTCTAGCATGATTTATTGTGGGTATAGATATTGTCTTCCTGTGTGTCTGCTGTAATAGTGGCAGGACCGGTATTGGTGTGGGAAGAAGACAGGATGGTTTGCCACCTGAGATCCTGCATGAGGCTCAACGTTCTCATGGCCATCCTTGGATGCTCCTTAATTATTTTTATCATAACTGAAAACAGTTATCAGGAACATTGGGGCCTTACCATGCAGGAAATTCAGTTGCATCCCTTGCACAAATTGTGAGGTCCTCATTGAATCGGATGAAATGCTGGCTCTGTTTGATGGCAGTGGGAAGCGAATGTGTTTCATTCCCTTTTATGGCTTCTCCATTGTCAGCGTTAGATGATGCTAGCAAAGGAAATCCAACTTAGAGGGAGGCCAGGTATCATGTTGAAGGAGAAAGGTGGAATGTGAAGTCCCAGGAAGGATTTTCCTTCTGCGAATGAAAAAGTCACCTTCCTTTGCTTTTTCCCTCAGAGCATATGGCCTGTTATATAGCCCTTCACTGTAGAAAGAAAATGCATTAGTGTGTTTTTAAAATCCTCATGCTTCTGCTTTTTTAAACTTTGGTTTTTATTCTAATTTTATTGTGCTTTAAATTGTTTTGTTGTCTTTTATTATGTTATTGTCTCATATGGTCTTAACTCTTGTTTTGTGATCCACCCTGAGAACTTTGGTGTGTGAGCCATGCAGAAATGTAATAAATCAATACAGCAGTTATTAAAGGAATTAATCACCCAACTCTTCTGCACAACTGCAAATCTACCATTAATATTATTGGGATTTTCAGAAAGTTGGTTAAGTTCTGTATTTTTTCATTTTGGTAGGAAAATAACCCAAAATGACTTTATTTTTAATTGTTTTTTCTAGAGTTGGGGGGAAAGAAATCCTTGGTAACGCAGCTAACCCTAACCCTAACCCTCTCCAAGCAGCTGGATGGACTAGGACGTGTCAGGAGGTTTGTTCTGACTGGCAGTAACTTACCAGAAATCCTTTTTTGGGGGAGCCTTTAAAGAAGTTGGTCCAGGAAGTAGGGGAAGTCATCCAACTCTCCCAGACCCATAAAAGGAAGGGTTGCATTTCCCCTGCTACGTCAGGCAGCATTTGACTTTGGGGGTGCTGGTCTTCAACACTCCTGTTATAAAGACACAAATGCCCATACTGGTAAAAAGTGGTGAATGCAGGAGGAAGGGAATGAGGCTGATCCAAAGCATTTGCCGCCCTGGATAACGATCGCTCCCCTTGCCACTCCACACAGAAGCAGCTGCCTGCACAGGCAGAATCCTTCGCCTTGGCACTGATGATGGGGGCAGCATCCTCTGGCACACCTGACAACAGAGGGCTACTGCAGAGGCACAGAAAGGTTGCGTCGTGCTGCCTCCAGCGTTCTTCTACAACTCCTCGCTGCCACCCTGCAGCATCTGCTGCCTGAGGCAATTGCTTCACCCTGTTTAATAGTAGGGCCAGCCCTGCCTTCAGCTGTCAACTCTTTACAGACCCGAGAGAGAAAGGAAGCAAAGAAATAGTGAGGAAGGGACATCATCAGCACAGCTATTCAGATTAAAGGCTATATCCCACCAACTGTCTCGAAGGGTTGGACAAGTCATCAGGCAGCAGGTGAACTTAGGGAGCAGAGCGCATCATCCACAGCTTTCTCCTTAGAGCAGCAGCTGCCTAAGGAAACCGCTTGACTCTGCCCAGGGGTAGAGGCACCCCTGGAAGGGAAGGGCAGCAACACAGAGGGAAAGCAGCAGGGTCTGGTGATGCCTGTTGCAGCAAGTCAGAGATAGGCTCCAGAAGGACTGCAGATGCTGCTGGCACAGCAGACACAGGCTCCCACGGTTCTCGCTTGCAGGGAGAGGAGCGCGGTGTGTGCTCCATGGCCAGCACATCTGGCCACTCCAAATGCAGGTGCTGAGAACAGGTCTGCATTCTGCTGGAAGAGGGTGTGTGGGCAGGGGCTGTGTTTGGACAAAACTGGCCGATGCGCTCCATGCGTTGCCTGCCGATCCAGTGTTCTGTGCGGAAAGCAGGCGTGCGCCTGGGCAGGCACGCTGTTGCCTGGCAGTCGGTTCTGTGCCAAGCGCTGCCCCTGCTGGAGTCACCGTGTACTTTGAGGCACACAGGTACAGCCCTGAGTCGTCCTGCTGGAGGCTCTTCAGCTCCAAATGGGTTACTTTGCCGTCCCGCTTGCCACTCAGCCGCTCCTTCAGCTCCTGTTTTGGTTCTTGCAGATGATTGTCATCAATACCGAACCACCCAAGCAGCTGGAGCGCTGTCTGTCCCGGGAGCTGATGGTACCAGTAGAAATAATAATTAGCTTGGTTGACGCTGCAGTTCAGCTGCAGGAGCTCATTCTGCCTCCTGCTCACAAGGGATGGTGCCTGCTGCACTTGCACTCCGGAGTCACTGCCAGCCAGTCCTGGGAGGAGAAAAGCGGCATTGGCAAGGGGAAAGGGAAGATTTCTGGTGACTCGGGATGAAGTGAACCCGGAGTAGGCAATAAGAGAGGGTGCCAGGGCCCCCCGCACTGGAAGGGGCATCTGGACCCGGGATGAGCCCCGGTTCCTCTGCTGTCCTCATCTCTGCAGACACTCACCCCACTGCAGGGCCAGGAGGGAGAAGAGCAGGCGCTGGACGTCCCCACGGTGGGGCTGAGCCGGTGCAGCAGCCATGCCAGGCCTGAACCGAGTGCAAGCGGAGGGAAACGGGTGCCGCCTGCTGCCTTCTCTCTCCCCTCCCTCTTCCCCTCTTGTGTGTGTGTGTGCGCGCGTGCGCGTGCGCGAGTGTGTGCACACTCATGCCATGGCAGTGTGTTTTGTGAGTACATTCAGTTTCTAGTTTCATTTTAAAGCAACCTTGAACAACCCATGAACAAAAAGTCCTCTGCTAAATTGAGCAATGTACAGCAATTGATAATAGTTTAAAAATCTTATGTAGTTGATGGATTATTTATGTTTATGTTATGTTCCAAGCTTACTTTCTCCACCCGCTGACTTTCTGCTTAATTGTAGCTTGGCATATTTCACCTGTTTTGAGTAAGCAAACTCTTCCTCAGGAAATACAAGAAGTCTGCAAGATGATTTAAAGTTATGCTATTTATGTAAGCCATCCTGAGGCTTTTGCAATAGGACGGCATATAAATACCCTGAACAAACAAACAAACAAATAAATAAAGATCCCATTCATTCTTTCATTTCTATGCCACCCAGTTGTGCCACAGCACCTCTGGGTGGCTCACAACACATTTCCTGGATATATATCAACTCATCCCAAAGGGATGAAGGGATGGAATGTGGACCAGGTAAAAGTGCAAGCTAGCACTCGGATAGGTTGAAGCGGTACCAAGATGAGTCCAGGATGCTCCCTATTAATGGGGCAACCTCTGTGCCACAAAGCAGGCATTTCTCAGGGCCTCCCTGAATATTGCACTAGGGCAGAGTCTCACAGCAGTACTTGTTTCCTTCCGAACTGGCTCGGTCTTCTGTGTCCACCCTGGCAGTGAGGGAGTGCTGACCTGGAGCTGGAGCCACAGGCTGATGGGACCAGTTGTGGTTCCCAGGAAAAACACCCAGGAAATCAAGGTGGCCCCTCCACTGGCTTGAGAAGCAGCAGCTATTTCTTCCTCCCTGCCAGAAAGAATATGCAGCTCCACCCGCTTGTCATCCTGGGAGTGCAGAAGCAAAGGAGGGAGGGAGCAGTTTTGTCCTCTCCAATGGCCGGAGGAACAAGACCTCCCCAACCATACCGAGCAAGAAAATGAGCAAGGGAAGAGCAGCCTTCCTGCCCGCACCGGCTCAGAGAATGCCGCCTTTGCTAACCTCAAAGAACCGTACACCTCCACTCCGTTCCCTTGCCTTTCTTGCTTTTTGAGTGCCTTAGCCTGTTGGCAGCCGCTCCAACCCATTTTAATTGATGTGAGCCACTTTCTTTGAAAGACAGATATTGTCAGAAAAGTGAGATGAAAATAAGTAAATAAACATAAACATCTGGCATCAGCCCAACAGGAAAGCGATGCAAACAGCAGGGGAGTGGGCGGCGGTTACAGAGGGAGCTCAAGGCAAGCCTGCGCTTCCTGGCCTTTGGAGCTCCGAAAAAGCATTTCAGAGAATCACAATTTCCAGCAGTCTGGACTGCAGCTGAATGGCTGTTTCCTACTCCTTTCACAGCACCCAATGGAACATTTCAGTTTTGCATACACCTGTGGCTTTAGCATGAGGCATTTTGCTCCCACTCCTCTCTGCATGAAAAGGCAATTTATCACCCCAGCGAAAGCAAAGCTGCACTCTCTCCACTCACTCACACTGCCATGTGCTCTGTCTATGGCACCGTATGCCCCATGACTCCAGCCACTGGAACCACGTCTTGGGCAGTCCCAAGGTATGTCCAGGGAGCCTCCTTCTGACTTTGGGATGGTGTGGGCAAAACCTGGAGGCCATTGCTTTCCAACCTGGGGCAAGCTAAAAAGGTCATTAAAAACCCAGAGCGGGGAGAAGCCGCACAATCTGTCCTGGGCTCTTCGCTGTGCAGCAACCCGGAGGGACATCTGTTGCACGAATAATGTGAAGCTGCACAAGACTTGGGGCTGATGTCAGTGGATGGAGCTCTGAGGTTCTTCACTCTACCTTATGCGCATACAGGTCTTGGTAAGGAAAGGAGAGATACTGGCCACCTGGAGTCCTGCAATGAGCAGGTGGTTAGACCCCATGGCTTTGCTGGTCCCTTCCAATGCTCTCCTGCCCTTGAATCACCTTCCACCACTATTCCATCTCCCTGTTCTCTGCCCCACTCTCGAACCTGATCTCAGGTCTGATTTAAAACACCAACACAATAAAATATAAATTTTATTTTAAAAAGTAAGTACAGGTTGAAACGTATATGTTGGGAGGCTCCTCCTATCCTCTTTTGTCCGGTTTTTCCCCACCTCTTGCCCTCCAGACGAGTTGGAATGCGACTCCCACCAGTCACAGTAAAAAAAAATCAACAGGGGATGAGTTCTCCCACACCTCATTTCCAGGCTTTTGCAGCTGTGAAAAACACAGAAGCCCTGTCAGGAGAAAATAGTGGCCAAGCTTGGAGGCAAATGGAAGCAGCATGATGATGACTCTTCTGGGATTCAGACCGAGGAGATAAGCAGGCGCCGAAGGAGCTGCAGGGGGAAAGGGAGGTAAAGCTGCTGGTGGGCATTGAGGGCTTGTCCCTAAAATGATGGATAGGCTGACACTGTTTGTGCACAGGGGGCATACGTTTATCAGCAGCGCATGGAGAGGCATGTGATTTCCTGGCAGCCCATTCTGCAGCAGTCCCTGTTGCTGCTGGAGTCGCTGTGTCCTTCGCAGTGCATAGACACATCCCTGTGTCACTGGGCTGTAGGCCGGCAAGGTTCAAGTCTGCCCCGCTGCCCTTCCATTTGCCACTCAGATGGCCCCCAGCTTGTCCTCTGCGACGTAGTCTTAGGCATTTGCAAATCCAGCTCAAGATCCAGGGTGCTTTCAACATTCAATGCTAGTTAAGAACCTAATTTTTTTAAAAAAACAGCAACAGCTAAGGACATTTTCTTTCTTGGGTGTAACTGCTGTAACTTAAGAAGGCAAAAAGTAAAGGAACATTGCCACCCTTATGTTTCTCATGGTGGCACAGGGGATGCTGCTGGAAAAAACTGGGGACAGTTTGGCCGTCTGTGCTTAATTTCATAGGCTAACAAGCACTGGTACATAGAGAAGACAGCGGTGGTGCAGTGAAGGCAGGGCTCACGGGGTGGAAGTACTGGGACTTTTTCATTAGCAGGGTTGATGTTATCATTTGCCACCACATTATGCTTTCCTGTTCTCTCAAAGCTTAGCTGTAACCCTCATAGTAGCTGGTGATAAATTTTCCCATCAACAACATACTGTTGTGAGCTCTTCTTGTTGTAAAGTGAAATATTTTGGGGTGTCCTGGCCTGCAATGGGCAATTAAGACCCATTTACAAAAGACATGCTCCTGTTGAAGAAATTCCTAGAATTGGATTTTTGTAAGAATCAACACAACTGCCTGCATTTTTGGGATCTTCAAAAATAAGTGGAGAAAGTGTAATGCCTCTCGTAAAACACATGATGCTCTGTTAGTTATTCTGTCTGTGAGTAGGAGACCGATTTTAAAGCAGCAAGTACTTGTTACAAGCTTCTTTCCTTGCAGAGAATTTGCCCCCGCATGGCTCTGCCCTCTGCTTCCCTTGACTCAAGTCGGATCTGTGATGTTTCTAATATGTTCTTGCAGTTAAAACACAGTACATTGCCATGCTCATTTCACCGATATTCCAGCCCCCCCTTCCTGTACCCTGTGATTCTGCAAGTGAAGGTGATGATGGCAGAACTGTAATCTGCCAGTGGTGTGACCCTTGATAAGTGCTGTGCCTTTCAAGCTGCATAATCAGCACGTTTCAACAGATGAATCATTTTGTGGCATGGAATTGTAGGGAAAAGTCTACACCTGTTGGAATTTTTGCCTGCAGTACAGGTATCGGGCACATGGCTCCTGCCCTTAATTCTGATGCAAGGCCTACTGAGAGCCAGCCTGAGTTTTCTTCTTTCTCCCTTATACTACATCAAGGTCATGTGATACTAATGCGGAATATTGCAGCGCCCCCAAAATCAAGCCCCTGCTTCTCCTGAATGAGTTTGGTGTGCTTAGTATTATGACAACACAGATGATCACTCAAATGTGCAAATTTTAGTATGATGTGTCAATGGAAAAGTGAAAAATTATGTCTCTTTGTTACAATGGAAAGAGTAGCTGTAACAACACAAAGTGCAATCCTAAATTAACAAAGGAATAAGTCCCATTTAAACCAGTGGGATTTAAATTGGCAAAGCATGTTTGTTTAATGCAGGGATGTTGTACAGAACCTCTTTTATTTCAAGGGCAGCATTCGGTTTTAGAGAGGCTCTCTAGATTCTGCAAAGGGCAAAAGGAGTGGGTCCAGGATACAAAAAATACCAGAATATTTTAGTTAAAATCTCCTGCTGACAATAACTAAGGGCCATTTGACACAAGGCTGCTAATCTGCTGCATCAGTTTTCTTGCAGAACTGACATCTGAGCCATATCCAAGAAGAGTTTCCTTTCCTGTTTTTCTTTCACTCCTTAATTCTTAGGAAGCACTGTGGTATGGCAGAATACTGCAAATATATAGGCAGGAATAGTCTTTTCTTTCCATTATCAGAAATAATATCTCATTTTCCTGCTCTAAACAGCTGCAAGAGCTGTTTGCAAAAGAGAAAATATGGCGGGTCGCAAAGCCATCTAAAGCAGCTGTGAGCAGGAATGGATGAGTGCATGATCAATGCCCAAGAGAGGAATTGCAACCTTTCGAGTCAGAGAGAAGTGCAGAAAAGCCAGGGATGGTTGGGAGAACGGGGTGGGGTGAGCAAAGGGGAGCGTGACCCTCTGAAGAATCCAAGCAGGGACCACAAGTGGACAGGGTTTGGCTCCCCAAGCCCGAGGTTGTGTGCTTAATGGCTCCTCTAGTCCTAAAGAAAGGCTAAGAACTTGGCACAAATCAGCTCACACTGGCCCTGGTCAAGCTAGTTTGTTATGTGACTGCCAGATCCTCAGGCTGCTTACTTGAAGGTAGCTCCCATCCATTTGGTAGGACAGCTGTGGGGAAGCAAAGCTCCCTGCACTTTGGAAGGGAGG